TTAGAGATTTCTCTCACTCAAAACTCAATGAAATCCTCATGAATTCATGCCCATATATCAAAGATGTTAAAAGTGGTGTGGTCTGGGATGCCCACATTCTATATCAAAGTGCCTGAGTTTGATTCCCAGCTCCACTCTGGCTTCCAGGTTCCTGCTAATGCAGACCCGGGACAACAGTAGTAATGGTTCATGTGATTGGGTCTTTGCCACTCATAAGGGAGACCTGGATTGAGTTTCTGAATCCTGGCTTCAGCTTGGCCTAGCTCTAGCTGTTATGGCATTTGGGGAGTGAGCCATTAGTTGGGGGTGATCTTTTTTTCTCTCTCCCTGCCATTCTAAAAATAATTAAAAAATAAATAAGTAACTTTAAAAGAACATTGTGTGTTACATCTTGAATAATTTCTTTTCTAGCAAAGTGCTATGATGGCAGGTGTCATGAAGGTGAGGCAAGTCTGCACTCTTACACACTGAACATGATTCCATCCATAGTGTAAGGGACATTGTAGCTGGTGACAGGTGCACCTGCGGACATTTGAGCCTGCTGAAAAGCTGTCTACTCTCTCACATGTGATTTCTCAAGAAATACACTAAGCAGAATGTATGTCTTTCCTCTTATTTTATCTTTAGCTCCATCTGAGTGTGTTTCCCTTAATAAAAATTTCAAACAGACAGGAAAATGAACTCAAGAAAATGATACCGCTTTGAAATACGTTCCTGGTGCAGATGTGGACTACATTCATCAGAATGACCTCTCCAAGTAAAATCCCACCAATAAAATGGCATTGAGGGTGCACTCTCATGTTTTAATGATATTTGATGAGGATGACTTCATGTGACTCATAAACTCAATTAGGTTAATCTGCTTCTAAAATATAGAAGGATTGAGGATTGTGTCAAGAAATCCCTAGTATCATACCAGAGACCAAGGGTTCAAAAGTTCAGGCAAAAGCAAAAATGTATTTTTCTTTAATAATGAAAGATACAATGTCAAGATGGATTCAAATAAACACACACTAAAAATCCACTAATAAAATAAAACTTGGAGGAATATAAAGAATGCAGCGATGTGGGGATAGGAGAGAAACATTTGCATGTCCTGGAGATGCAGGAAGAATTGAACAGAGTCCATCCACATAAAGTATGACCCACTGAGTGGTGCCAAGGTCAGTGAGACCCAGGACAATCTGCCTGATCTGATGCCAGGCTTATTCCTTTCTCTGCTGTGGGCTGGTTCCTCCCTTTCCTGTATATCCGCCACTTTTTAAAGTACCCCTCCAACTTCCCCTTCTTTAACATGTTTTATAATTGTCCTACAAGCTATATGCCACACATACTGAAAGATGGAGAGATAGCAGGGAAAGACGAATGACTCCTGTGGGGAACAATCCAGACTAGACTGAGTTACTGGAATTAAGACTTATTCTATGCATCTGCTCTCCCACAATATGGCGCTGGGAGAAGAAAACAGCTTCTACACAGGTGCCTCCAGTTCAGCCAATAAACTGTAGGACTCGCTCCTGATTGGCGGAGAGCAGCGTACTCGGCGTGTGGGCAGCCGAGTTGGGATTGGCGGAGGAGGACTATAAAGGAGGAGAGAGACAACATGCACCAGGAACATCTAAGGGGAACATCTAAGGGAACGCCTGTGCAGCCCCCGAGAAGAGCCGGCCGGCGGTGTGCCGCTCCCCTGCGGAAGTGGGGAATGTGGCCAGGGGGAACTGCCCTTCCACGGAGGTGGAAGGGACAGTAGCCAACCCGGGAAGAACCAGCAGCAAACCCGGGGAGGGCCGAGCAGACGAAAGAACAGCGCAGGGTCCTGTGTTGCTCCTCCACGAAGAGAGGGAGCGACATAATGGTGCCGTGACTCGGATATGAAGCCTAGGCAGGGCTTAGTGTCGTTCCTCCACGAAGAGGGGGAGCGACATAATGGTGCCGTGACTCGGATATGAAGCCCAGGCAGGGTTTAGTGTCGTTCCTCCACGAAGAGGGGGAGCGACAGACTCCCGTTTTCTGAACTAGATCATTTTCCAGATTCTTTGTCTTTAATGAAACTCCTCCATTGGCTGCCTTATGCCTTTACTTTCAGGGATCAGGGGCTGGGACAGATGGCTGTTGTCAAACACTAGTTGGTCACTGCTCATCACTCTATGTTTCCCTTTCTCTCTGAGTTTCCTACAAACTCTCACCTTTCCACAGGTGATCTCGTTGCACCAGGAATCAATGGCAAGTTATAGAGTACATACTTCTACAAAATTAGAATTTCTAGGTTTAGAGTTGAGTAGTAGAAGCTAAGTGTTTTACAGAATTAATGGATTTCAAAATCTACTGGCAAATATCAAGTTTGTTTAAGCTCCAGATCATCTCTTAAAATAGTAATTATAATTGTCCCTAGGAATGCACTTGAATATTCCACACAGGGGCCGACATCATGGCATAGCAGGTAAAATGCCACCTGCAATGCTGACTCCCCATATGAGCAACGGTTCTTGTCCAGGCTACACCACTTCTGATCCAGCTCCCTATTAATGGTCTGGGAAAAACAGCAGATGGCCCTAGTGTTTGGGCCCCTGCCATCCAAGTGGGAGATCACATGAAGCTTCTGGCCTCTGACTTTGGTTTGGCCCAGCTTCGACCATTGTGGCCATCTGGGGAGTGAATCAGTGGATGTAACATCTTTCTCCTTTTCCCTCTGTCTCTCCCTCTTTCTCTCTATACCTCTGCCTTTCAATTAAAAAAAATCTTTTTTTTTAAAGAGAAAGAAACAAAATACTACAGAACTTCCAGAAATATCAATGCTTTTTTTTTCTTTAACACCTTATAATGGAAACAGAAATGGGGTAAAAAGAGATTTTTTTAAAGCTATTAGTACAGGGGCCAGCCCCTATCACCCACATGGGAGATCTGGATGAAGCTCTTGGCACCAGCCTGTGCCAACCCTGGCCATTGTGGTCATTTGAGGAGTGAACCAGGGAATAGAAGATCTCTCTGTCTCTCCCTCTCTTTCTGTAACTCTGACTCTCAAATAAATAAATAAAAACTATTAGTACAAAATCAAGTATAGTTTCAAGTCAGAATCAAGCACAAATTTTCATTTATAGGGATCAGAATTAAAAAAACAAATACAAAGAAAACTAAGATATGAAAACCAAAGGTACAGCAACATGATTACAGTGCTACCAGAAAGAGAATGTTACAGTTAGTTACAGAAATGTTCTCAGCCCAACGCCCACTTAGCCCATTTGCCTTTTCTTTCCTTCATGATTTTCTGAAAAACAAATTGTTTTTTTCCTGAAAACTTTCCATGCTATGATTGCTCTTTTTCTCCAGGGGTCATTTATTTACATTTTGGAAAAGTCTTAGTAACATCTGCTCAAAAACATTGGCTTTGAAGGAAGCATAATGCAAAGCAAGTATAAACTATACACTTGTGTCTAAAACCGATCCATTGATTTCAACTTCAGCTTACTAATTCATCATGAAAAATAGCAGGATTTATTCACAGACTTCCACAAGCAAAATAACAATGGGAAATAATGGAAGTTCAGTGTAACGTATCTGTATCAGGCAGGGAGCTCTTCTCCCAACCCTGCAGAGGAATCACTCCCCAGGAGCATGCACTGGCTGCTCTCTCGTGGTCCCATGTCCTTATTTTAAGATGGCTATGATTTCCCCATGAATAAATGCTGAGGGACAACTGTATCATTTCAATTTAACATGAGACTGTGTAACTCGAGTAATACCTTGCATTTCATAGCTTTGGCTCCGCTGAGGACTGGGATTCATTCAGATATATCGCCACGAGGCTGGCACGTCACGGCCATGTCCAGATGAAACCCCTCAAGTGGAGAAGCGGCTGTGCTACAAGTGCCTCTCCTGGGATTGTTGCCCTGGTTCCATATTTACTGAGCTTCACCTAATCCATATTTCCTTCTAGAAGCTTCTAGAACTCAAGGGAACCAGCAGATCGATTCTACTGACCTTACAATAGGGTCACCTCCACTTTTAATGTCTTACACTTGGGGAAGAAGGGAGTAGCCAAAGCCCTTTGCTTTCTCACTGCTGCTAGCTTTGCCAGGCCTTGAAAGACAGTTCAGTTATGTTATTTGCTTATAGCAGCTGTCCCCTGAGAACTCCAAGTTTGTTTTCCTAGATTTTTTTGGTCAACTTCAAATATTATTATTTTATTTTATTTTTTAAATATTTATTTATTTATTTAAAAGTCAGAGCTACAGAGAGGCGGAGGCGGGGGGAGGGGAGGTCTTCCATCCACTGATTCACTCCCTAGACGGCTGCAATAGCGGGAGATGGGGCCCCATCCAAAGTATTCCAGGTCCAGGGACCCAAGAACTTGAGCCATCTTCTACTGCTTTCCCAAGACATAGCCGAGAGCTGGATTGAAAGTGGAGCAGCCGGGTCCCAAACCGGCACCCGTATGGGATGCCGGCGCTTCAGGCAACAGCTTTACTCACTACGCCACAGCACTGGCTCCAACCTTGAATATTAATTCTCAATCCAAAGCTATGTACGCATTCATGATTGTAATGAAATCTGCACTTCCTGTGTACAGGGTGTCAATGCATTGCAGACAAAGCCTTTGTAAATTACTGGCAGAAGCGTTTTTTTCCTAGAATGCTGGGAAGACTCAAGCCTCACAGAGCAGAACCACCCTCCTGGCAGCAGGATGGCCACACAGTCCCACAAGCTGGTGCACCTGCACAGGGCTAGGGGCTTAAAGCCACCATCTTGTTCTAGGGGGTAAACACAGAGTGATGGAGGGGCTCCTAGAAAGGAAGATTGACCCCCAGAACTGAAGGATAGGGAAAGGCCCAGTGTTTCTGTTGAACCATTGTGGACTAATCCCTCACCTAAAGAGAGGCCAGAGGGGAAGCACTCAGGCAGGCTAAAACCCTCTCGTGGTAAACTAGACTTCCTACAGTAACAGAACGCCCAACTGGGAGACAGGTCTTCCATCCCTAACTTCATACGCATGGATGTGCTACCTGCAGCTTCCCCTTCTTCAGAGTGACTCCCAGCTCTTCCAAGAGAGGCCTCACCATCCCTCTTGAATGGAACAGGATTTTTCTTTTGCACCAAAAAAAAAAAAAAAAAAAGTGACCTTGTTGCCTCAAGAGCACAGTGTTTACACAACCAGTATAATTTCTTTTCATTGGTGATTTTTGGCCCAGGGCTTATAATTCTTATCCTCACAATGTTTTGAATGTGACATTTTAAACCTAACTTAGCCCTTTTCTTCCAAAGCTACATTAATATAGTAGGAGGCTTAACAGACAATCTAGGCAGACATGCCTGCAAGTTCACTTTCAGTGCCACAGAAATGTGGATTGTTTTCCTCTGCTTATGGGGATTTAGTGTTATTGCGGAGTTTCGGATTTTTATGAGCACTTAAAATTTTGGATCTGATTGGGATCTGGGCTCACATTAACTCATTTCCAATTACTGAAATATCCATCTTCTAGAGAAAATAAAAAGGTTACCAAGTCAGAATTATGAAGAGTGTGGGCATGGAGGAGGAATACATTTTTGGGTAACTCAACATGAAATTGCCAAGGAAATTGAAGTAATCAAAATAAATGTATGTAAGTGGGTTGTATGCAATCACACTGATAACAGTGTGTGATTCAATTGCATGAAGCGCATCTGTTGTATGCCACATTTATCCCATTACCTGCAAGAACCAGTGGTTTTATAAACTTGTCCCCAGAGCCTCCGCCTCAGAGATTTTGTGCTGACCATGACATAAGTAACTTCCTGATCCCGTGACGTGTGCAGACACCTGTGTGTGGAAGCTTTGCAAGGAGCCCATATTTTACTTTTCCCGTTAGGCTTTCACATTTGGGATTGACAATGAAAGAGGTTCTATGTAGGCCTCTCCAGCTCTCAACTTAGAATGTCCACAAGGGCCCAGGACCCATATGAATTGATCCCATACCCCTGTATGTTAGGGTATTCTTTTATCATCTCTATACAGTTCTCTTTTTTTAATTGTTAGGTAACTGTCCTAGTCCATTCTGTATTATTTTAACAGATTATTAACAGGCTGTATAATTTGCAAGAAAGAGAAGTTTCTTTGGCTCACAGTACCAGAGGCTGGAAAGTGAAAGATTCAGGGGGCTGGTGCTGTGGTGTAGTGGGTAAAACCACCACCTGCAGTGCCGGCATACCATATGGGCACCAGTTCAAGTCCCGGCTGCTCCACTTCTAATCCAGCTCTCTGTTGTGGCCTGGAAAAGCAGTAGAAGATGGCTCAAATGCTTGGGCCCCTGCACCCATATGGGAGACCTGGAAGAAGCTCCTGGCTCCTGGCTTTGGATCAGCACAGCTCCGGCCTTTGCAGCCAACTGGGGAGTGAACTAGTGGATGGAAAAATCTCTCTCTGCCTCTTCCTCTGCCTTTCTGTAAGTCTGCCTTTCAAATAAATAAATAAACACATTTTTTAAAAAAAATGAAGAAAGATTTGGGGCATTATTACTGCAGTGAAAGGTATCATATAGCCAAAGCAATCCAGGGAAGGCCAAACTCACTCATATAAGAAATCCACTCTGGCAACGAGGGAATCACTCCTGCAATAAGAACACTAATCCACTCATGAGCTGTTAGTCAATTCTGCATTACCATAATGAAATACTTGAGAACAGGCAACTACATAAAGAAAAGAGCTCTGTTTAGCTCACAGTCCTGGAGGTTCAAGGGCAGGGTGTGGTATCAGCTCCGCACCAGTGAAGACCTTAGGATGAATGGTGTCACAGTGGTGGGAGCAGGTACAAGAGGGAGAGACTACATTGCCAGCCAGGAAGCCACAGATTGGGAGAGGCCAGGCTTACTCCATTACAGCAACCCTCTTGCAAGAAGTAACTCAGGGGTCTCCGGAGAACTGCCTTAATCCCCTTTGAGGGCACATGCCCAGTGACTGAAGGACCTCCCGTTAGGCCCCATCTCTTAACAGAGCCACACTGGACACCAAGATTCCAACACATGGACCTGTGGTGGACAAACTCACTCCACATCCAAACCATGGCATTGATCCTATCGCAACTTAGCAGACCCACAGCTCAACATTGATGCATTGCGGTTGAGTTTCCAACGCTTGAACTTTGGAGACACATTCACAGCAGAGCAATAACTTTCTACACAGAATCTCCCCAACAATATATTATGGGAATAGAAAATGAATTTAAGGGAAAATAATAAAATCAGAATTTTGATCTTTGTTGGCTTTAAGAATATCGGAAGTTTTGATTATTAAATTGTGGAGCAGAATATTTCATACAAATCAAATATAAGTGTCATAAGTGTCTAACATTATTTAACTCTGAGATTTAAAAGATTTCTTTTTCTCTTATCTATGCCTTCCTCTTCCATTCAGTAGAATGAATTCTAATTCAGTAGAAGAATTATAATTCCTCCAATGGAGCAACCAACACCAAGCTCACTCTTTTCAATTCATAAATCTATTTCTGTACTCAAGTCTTCTGATCTACAATAACATTTGCAAGATAGAATCAACTCTTCCTTTAATCATGCATTCTAAATATTCAAAAAGAAAATAAGTCCTCCACCTAAAATAGGAACAGGTGACAACCTCTGTCTTCAGTGATAAACATCAGGCTGCTGAGATTTAGGACAATCAGGTGGAAATGGGAATGAATCCACGATGGGTGCTTGAGGAAGAAGTTCCAGCGCCTTCCAGGTTGAGCATAGAATCTGAGGAGGAAAGGGCATGGAGCACTATTTCTCCACCTGGGGATTTAGGACACCTGAATGGCTTTCTAGGAGTGTCAATTGGTAAAGTCAACAACAGGAGTCACTGTGCACTTACTCCTCATGTAGGATCTCTGTCCTTAATGTGCTGTGCATTGAGATTTAATGCTATAACGAGTACTCAAACAATATATTTCACTTTGTGTTTCTATGGGGGTGCAAACTGTTGAAATCTTTACTTAATGTATACTAAACTGATCCTCTGTAAAAAAAAAAAAAAAAATTATCAACTCCCAACTTGACTCTCACTGGGATTAAACATGACAATAGGTCTGATCTGATTTCATCATCATTTAAAAAAAATCATCTATTATTTTTCACTTTATGTTTCTGTGTGGGAGCAAACTGTTGAAATCCTTACTTAATGTATACTAAGCTGATCTTCTGTATATTAAGATAATCGAAAATGAATCTTGATGTGAATGGAAGGGGAGAGGGAGTGGGAAAGGGGAGGGTTGTGGGTGGGAGGGACGGTATGGGGGGGAAGCCATTGTAATCCATAAGTCGTACTTTGGCAACCAAGCCCTTGAGGAACTGCCTGCAGCCTCCCTGGATGTGCATGACAAAGATGCTGGAACCAGGACCAGAGCCAGGATTTGAACCCAGACACTGCAATAAGGGGGGTGGGTATCTCAGGTGACATCATAACTGCTGTGCCAAACACCCACCCCAAGGATCTCCATCTTCATGTGGCCAGTGTCATTGTGAGAACAGGACACTGAAAGGAAATATTTGCCACAAACCATTTCCTGTTTCATTGTGAGCTGCCAAAGGCTACCCGCTGGCCACTGGCCATTTGATGAGGAAGGAGAAATCAACAGAGAGTACAACGACCGTGATTCTGTCCTGACAGAGGAGGGGCGGCATTGTGTGAAGTACTTACTAAACTCTATTTCTGTCTAAAACAATGCCGATGCAAGGAAGTGAGCCCATCAGATTAGCTTCCCAGCTCAGCCAACAGGTCCTTGGCAATTTTCCAAGTTCTATGATTTTTTTTGTAAGAAATGTGTAATTTTCCATTTTTATTAATGTAAAAATGATTACATCTTCAAACTCTCAGATAGTTATAATCTCCTGTGTGACTGTCATGTAAGAAAATTGTGTTTGTTTTTTTAGAGAGAATACTTAGCTTAAAAAAAGTCGTAAAATTCTAGTACTTGAATGGACTTCAGCAAGTTCTGCTTACACAGAGAAACTACCGCATAATTTTTGCCTTTAATATACAAAGTCAAAGAATCTGTTTCAGTTTTTAATCAATCCTTCAAGTTCTTTGAATCTATTTTTTTAAATTACAACTTTGTCATACATATATTTGAAAATAGCCTTTTCTTCTTTAGGTTAAAATAGCCACAGTATGCTCAACTTAAATCCAATTCCAATATTCAGATTATCTTACAATGTTCTCTCTTTTAAGATTTTTTATTTATTTATTTGAAAGGGGGAAGGGGGGAGAGAAAGAGAGAGAGAGAGAGAGAGAACCTCTATCCACTGGTACACTCCCCTAATGGTCGCAATGGCTGGGCTGGAGCAGGCCAAAGCCAGGAGTCTGGAATTCCATCCAGGTCTCCCATATGGGCGGCAGGTGTGCAAGCACTTGAATCATCTTCCATTGCTTTCCAATGCAGCACACATGATGCCTTAACCCCTGTGCCACAACACTGGCCCCAATATTCTCAAGTTTTTACATAGAACTCATAGAACTTGGAGATTAACATTGGAATCCTATTCTAGGCATAGCCTAAAAATGTCACCAGAGACCTGCAATTTGGAGAAGTATATTGAGTTTTGGTATTACAGGGTCAGACTTCAAGGGAAACAGGATTTTCATTCCTGAGTCATGGCCAAGCAGTGATTAACATTGCATTTCTTATCTAACAAAATGTATTGAGCACCTAGTATCTGCCAAGTACCATTCTGGGCAAAGACTTTAATCAGATACAGCCCCTGTGCAGAGGAGGGCTCAGTTTTATTATTAAAAAACATAGAACATAAAGAGTTCTAAATAAATGCTACCCACTATTAATATTTTACCATGTTATTAATATTGCATAGGTTGATAATCTATAATCCAAACAAAAATCTAAAATCTGCAATATTTTGAATGTACTATGAAACCACAACTGGAAAATCCCCCACCTGACCTCTTATGATGAGGCCCACTCAAAATGCAAGTGCATTCAAAGTATTGTTCAAAATGTCCTTCAGGCTGTGTCTGCGAGGTGGATATGACACATACACAAATGTCTTGTTACACTTGGGGCCCGTCTCTTATATATCTCATAATGTGTGTGCAAATATTCCAAAATCTGAAAAAAATGCAAATCCAAAGCACTTCTGGTGCCAAGCATTTCAGATAAGAGATGTACCATGTTCATGGTATGGCCCTGAGTATTTCAGCAACATTCAGTGCTTAATCTCACCACTGATTTGGAGAAGCTATTTAAATTTTATAGTTGAAAATTACAACCTTTGTTTTATAATTTCACTTGGTAGAACATAGCCTGTTTCCCCTAGCAGTGTATCTTAGCCCACCAAACCTCTGCCTGAGTAAGGAAACCAAGCTTGGATTGAAGAAAGAGAAAGAGGAATGTGTGACCTGGATCATTTCTTCTTCCAAGGTTCTCAGACAGTATTCATAATACAGACCAGAGCATCCCTTTCAGGTATGCTTCCAGATTGTTGGTGCAGTCCTGAGAACTCCTTCAGCCTCAAAGTCTGAGCCCAGGCTGACTGCTGTGGAGGCCTCCCACAAACCCTGCCAGTGCACCCTGCTCTTCACAGCCTCTTGGCCCCAGAGTGCCCTTGACTGAGATGACAAATGCACACTGCATCATGTAAGCAATGGTCACTACCAAATATGAAGGGAACAAGATCACAGCCCTGAAGAACCACATACCCAGCTAGGGAGAGACAGGCAGAGCTGCCCGTGTGTCTGCACAGAGGCTGGGGAGCACCCGGGAGTCCCCACGTCAGGTGGAAAGACAGGTAGATGGTTCCTTCCTTTGGATGTGTGAAGTGCTTCCTTGAGGCATGCGTGTCATCAGTGAGGCCCTCAGGGAGCTGCTGCTGCTGTGTGGGCGGGAGCCAGGGCAAGCTTGCAGGTGCCTGGGGATTTGTGTGCAAGCGTTAAAGGCCAGCTGCTGGGGCTGAGCCAGCCTGTGCAAGCTGAACCTCAGCTGGTGACCTGTCCCTGCCTGTACTCCTAAGGAATCACGAGGAGGGAGGCCTACCTCCCTGGAACAAGACTTCTATTTATTACAGAATCAAGAATCGACTTTCTATATGCCGTATTGTAGATCATGCAGTGGAACTCAGACTTAACTGCAAACTTAAGGAATGGGGGGAAAGGGCAGGGCAGAGGGGAAAGGAGACGTCCGGCAACCCCTTGGCAGGGCTGCTCACCCTCTGCGCCCTCTTAGGGGCAAGCGTGTGAAGCCCAGTCCCAGCATGAGTGAGTCCTACTTGGAAGCTGGAGAGGTCTCCCTGGAGCACATGAATCTAAGTAGGGTGAAATTATTACACTATCCCCAGCTGTATGTGGGAAACTCAAAAGCTTCGTGGAACTGCAAGCTTTGGGTGCAGCAGTTAAGTTGCTGCTTTGGACACCTGCTTCCCCTGTGCTGTCACATGACTCAAGTCCTGGTTATTCTGTTTCCCATCCACCTGAGAGGCAGCACTTGTGGGAGACCTGGGTTGAGATTCCCAGCTCCTGCCTTCATCCTGCCCCAGCTCTGGCTGCTGCAGGCATTTAGAGAATGAACCAGCAGACATGAACCAGCAGATAAAGTCTCTCTCTCTCTCTATCTCTCTCTCTGTGTGTGTTTAAAATGAAAAATATATAATTTTTTAAAGTTCATTAAAAATGGAACTAAAAGATAAATTTATTTTGCTGCCAAAATATGTTAAAGCCCTTGCATCTTTTTTTCCAAATACATGGATTTCAAAAAATATTTTAAGATAGTAATTAATTAATTCATTTGAAAAGCAGAGTGACAGACAGACAGAAAGATCTTCTACCCATTGGTTCACTCTCCCAAATGACTGCAACAGTCAGGGCTGCCAGGAGCCAGGAACTCCATCCTGGTCTCTCACATGGGTGGCAGGGCCCAAGTACTTGGGCCATATCCTGCTGCCTTCTGAGGTGCATTAGCAGGGAGCTGGATCAGAAGCAGAGTAGCTGGCATGCACACCATTGTTCTGATATGGAATGCCAGCATTGCAAGGAGTGGCTTAACCCATTAGACTACAATGCCAACCCCTCAGCAATTTTTCTTTCACCAAAATAAATGTATTTTTTATTTTTAATTTTCCGCCTACTTTTTGAGGTACTCCTATATAATTACTAAAACTTTACCCAGTGATACAATACTAGATCTACTTCTAGTTTGGTTGCTCATCATGAACAAAAATCCATGAAAACAGTGCTCAGGGGTAAGTTTTTGGTGCTGATATTTAAAAGCTGCTTGAGACATCCACATCCCTTACAGGAGAGCCTGGGTCTGAGTACCAGCTCAGCTCTAGATTCCAGCTTCCTGCTAATGCACACTTTGGGATGTGGAAGATAGTGATGTAAGTGGTTGAGTCCATGCCACTCACATGGGTGACCTGGTTTGAGCTCCTGGTTCCTGGCTTTGGCCTGGCCCAACCTTGGCAGTCAAGGGCATTTGGGAAATGAATCAACATATGGGAGATTCTCTCTCTCTCTCTCCCTGTCT